GCATAGCAAAGCATTTTGCTGTGTGAGATGGGGATGCCACTGCCTTCCATGCACATGCTTGATAACTCCCTTATAACTCATACAGCAGCTGTCTCCATCCAGAAGACATCTAGAGACAGAATTACATGTCCTGCCCCAAGCCTCCAGTTTGAACTTGGGCCAAGTCATCCCTGTGGAAAACTCTTCTAACAGAGGCTAACTTGAAGGTCAATATTATAAACTTGCTTCACTTCTAATGCACTCCTGGCTCTACACAAATCCCTCCTAAGGGTAGCACATCCAGGCTGAATGACTCTAAGTATCATCATGGAACTACCGTCTGCCAGAATGAGTGTCATTGTTCATCTTTCCAAGCAGAAAAATAGTCCCTCATCTTCAGTTTTTGTATAATATTATGACATTGTAATAACCAATTCTCTCCAAAATTTCTCTTTTGAATATATTTGCCTCTTGTCTTACTTTCTCAGTTGTTCCCTATTCCTTTATGGATTTGAAATCTTTTGCAGAAAAAAAAAAACCTACAAACCCTTAGTTTAATCACACCAAAGCTTGCTAGAAGTTATGTTGATGCAGCAAAAAAGCATGTCTGCTAGAAGCAAACAAGGCAAAAAGCCCAGTTTCATGGGTTTATAGAGAAACAAGAATAGCAAGAGAACAGAGATATAAATATTTGGAACCTCCTGTCTGCAGATCAGAATGCAACTCATATGCATAAGGATTAAGCACTGGAGTTGACTGCTACTTGAGGTGCATTAGTATAGCCACTTAAAACTTTGAATAGTTCCATCAAAGGCAAGGTTCTTCTGTTTGAAGTTAGGCAAAGAAGTATTGAGCTGCATTATCTTCAAGTCTGTGTTAAATAACATGCCAATGTCCACATAGCGTTAATAGCACCACTCAAGAGTTTACTGGTATGGTTTTTTTAGAAGACTGAAATGGAAATGGAACTCATTGTACTCTTTTTAAGAACATTTCCCTCAGCTGCTCAGGTGATGATGAAGAACAGCCAACTCAGTTACACAGGGTAACCAAAGAATGGTAAAGATAACTCTGATGAAGCTAGACTAAACGTAAAGTAAAATATAAGATTATTCAATGCATTAGCAGTGGAAAATTTGCACAGATTTCTGCAGGCCAGATGCAAATAACAGTGAGAAGGGCATGATCTAGCATACATACAATGTACAGTGCAGTACTGAAAGGTGCTGGATGAAGGAAGGCTTTGGTAAACCTCAACCATCCACCTAACAATAACCAGGCAATGACTGTGTACCGGCCAGGCAATGCATTAGAAGTCTGCATTGCCATCACAGTACCATACCCGATCTAGAAACAATGGATATGGTTTCTTTCCATAACCTCCAACAGCTTCAGACCTCCTGAGCGTAAGACTAGGATTTTTATAGAGTGAAAATACAGCAAGTGTTGCCATTCACTATCAGAGGAGCTGGCTGTCCCCTCCCTCATGACATCCACCAGGTCCTTTTGTGGCCTTGCCATGTGCCCATTGTTGGCTCTCAGCTAGTCCCAACACCCAAAGAAAGACCATTGTCCTCCAAGGCTGCAGGGCATGTAACTGCACCAGGGCCCACACAACTGAACAGATAGCCCTTCCATTTCATTCTTCACAGCCATCACTCTATTCTGCTGTCTAAACTACTATGCTTTAGTATTTGCTTAGCTTGTTTCATTTGTCAGTCAGTTAGGGAATGAAGAGGTTCTGTCTGCTCTTTCTGTGGTTTATTTTTTGTTTTATTAAAAAATAAAAGGAAAGAAGAAGATGGATTTCACTCTTCAGTTATGTATTTTCTAACTACCTGTACCAAGAACAAAGACACAAACCCAAAATCTTTGAGAGGTTTGGAGTTTTTTTTTCTTTAGAAGTTCGGGATTTTCTAGCAGTACTGTTTCCCTTTCTGTGCAAATTAAAATGGCTCTGTTTAGTAACTGATAAAGGTGCCCTTAACACGTGTCCACAACAAGGAGCATTGTGTGCTGTTAACAATTGTTGAATAGATGCCCAGTCCCAGACAGATGGTGCTTTATCCTCACCCTCTCTTCAAGACAGCATAATGCGTTGTCCTGTCAGGGATTAATGGAAGTGCCACTCACATTAGATGCTAATTCTGGTAGCAACTCTGTTACTACACTGCACTATGCTGCACAGCTACTGCCTGCAACTAATGCTTGAAGCAGGCAGTCCACACTGGAGGAGAAGCAAGACATTCAGAAACCAAAGTGAGGAGCATAATGCAAGAATCTATGCAGAACACAACCTCATGGTAAAGGGGAAAGAGATATTTGAAAAGGAAGACAAGAATGATGGAAAGAAAAAAAAAAACAGAAACCATAAAAGCAAAAATGAGGACTGAAGGTTAAAGCAGACAAAATAAAGATTAGGTACCAAATAGGAAGTTAAAATAAAAGATCTAACACAACAGAGCAAGTGTCTTTTCTCAGTAATGGCTAATGCATCACATCGTTAGAAAATCAGCACTGGAAAGGTACCTCATAGTAGGGAAGAGCAGCTGAAACACAGGACAGAGTAATGGCAGTGAGGGTACGTTATTCTACAGTTGGATCTTGCCCCATGGTGCACCCCAAAGCACAATAAAGTTATAAAACTACAATGAATGTTTAACATCTTGAATAGGCACACAGTTGAGTACTTATTTAACGAAAATAAGAGTCTCAGAACTGACTCCTGGATATCTACTCAAAAAAAAATTGGATCCTCTCTTTTCTGTTTAGATAAGAGATTTCAGATCTAAGACTAACCTGAGATGCTTCCACACATGCATAAAGTGGACTGAGGAAAAACCTAGGCTCAAAAGACCTTGTGCTACAGCACTTTTGTCACATTTTCATTCTAGTACTATGCTCATTTACCATGGTCTGTATGTGGCATAGCAGGAGAGAGGAAATCCAAGCATTAGACGTCTCTTTCTGAAAAGTTACTGGGGCATAGGAAATCTTTTGTGTTTGAGAGAAGCTCCTACATATTTACATGGATGACGAATCTAGTTAGATACTCCACGGTCATGAAACACAAAACTTTTAATAACTAGCACTATCTCATCACTAATTGGTCAAGGGAACATAGGTCTTTCACTCTGCATTTCAGAGGAGGTTTCTTATGGGAGAAAGGGAAGAAAGGGAAGGAAGAGGTTATTCAGACATGTTTATCAAACCTGAAAAGCTAGACCCTGGCAGCAGATGGTAGATGGCAAACAGTAAGATTTTGTGAAAAACTAGAACAGTATAAAAACAGTGGAAAGAAGGAAAGCATTATGACAGCAGGAAACACTAAAGTTTAAAGATACACAAGAAAATACATTTACACTGTCTGTTGCTCCATTAACAGATAAAAAAGGAGCAATAAAATAAATGCAAGGGAAATTAAAAAGCAAGAGCAGTCTATCACTAACAAGCTTAGGCACCAACAAGCAGCTTGAGTATACTATATATATATGCACTATACTTTGAAATAGTATATTAGACCATCACATTTTCAAATTTCTTCTGATAGCTGAAGAAATGGGGTACACTGTTAACTTCTCACAAGTCTCCAGTACTCTATATTAAGAAGCTGTAGTTGTGGTAAAAAGTAGATGAACTATTAAACAAGCAAATTACCTCTAGTTCACAAAGTCAACGAGTAGTAAATCACAGGAAGTTGATACGGAACACCAGGAAATTAAAACTGCATACTTCTGCCATTCTCATGCTCTTATTTGTCAGGGGATCCACTGCTATCGGACACTAGGAATGGACTAGACAGACTAGGTATATCTTTGGTCTGACAAGTTTGTCCATTTTTATGTCTTTATAACTTTCTTTAGTAAGAAATGACGTGTCAAGGAGATGGAAGAGAATTTATTAATGACAGTATATTTGACAGCCACTATACCGAACTAAAAAGATCTTGGCTGGAGCCAAAGACAATGTAGGTTGATACCTAAGTAATCACTCCACACTCCATGTGAACATACTTCAGTGACACACTTGCAGGCTCAGACCTCCTTACATCTCCATTTGCAATAGTCCTTACTATTCCCCATCCGGACCTTTCTTGAATAATACTTATTGTACTGTAAAGAAATTTTGCTGATTGTGTAACTGCACACAAATTGAATGCCAGAAGAAAATATATATTTATTTCTTTCGCGATCCAAAATAATATTCCTGATTCAGAGCTATATGTGATGAATTTTCTCCTCTCATTTACAGTCTCCTTTTTTTTTTTTTCCTCATTTCTTGTGCAACTCTGCCTGTGCAATTACTACATCATTTGCAGTATGCCTCTGGATTTCAATACCAATGCAACCATACTTTGATGTACTGTAGAGCTCTAAGCACCTAAGTTTGTCAAGTTATTAA